GATCAGAGCTCAGTGGAGGCATCGGGAAGCAATGTGGGGAAAGGGAAATTTTCTATAAATCTGTTCACAAGGGTTAGGGAAGGGCATCTGTCCTTATCCTTATCCTTAAAGCCACATGAAAAGCAACAACAGGAAGTCAGGACATCAAAGACAAAGGCATCTATAGAACCAACAAATGCAAACACTTAACAAGTGAGAACACTTTATTGAAGAACAAGTATATTTCAGGGGCTAGAGAACAAAGGAGCAAGTTACAGCACAGTATCCCAAGTTTGCCTTCCATTACAATATCAACCCACACCAAATAAACCTTTTAAAAACACTCCTCCATTCAGTTCATATATATAGGAGAGTCAGTGAGTGAGCACATGATTACCCTGACAGGTATTTCTTCTCCGGTATAGACTTCTTTCACAAATGACTGTGTAGATACATATGGAAGAATAAAAAGGTCAGTTTGGAACAGTAAGTTTTAGAAAATGAACCTTAGCTCATTAAAATCCTTCTTAGAAAGGTCTCAACATATCACTCCCCTGTTACATCTTACATCTAGGTCAAGATTAGGAAAACAGTAGAAAAAAAAAAAGATCTGAAACCATTTCAAGAAAGAATTCAGACTACATTATCTCGGAGCACTAACAGTGCCCAGCCTGGAGAAACACTGGACCAGTTTACACAGTACTTGGCTATTCTGGTGGACAAAATGATATGTAGACCATATTCTGTGTGGTAATACATTGTGGACACAAACACTAAGAAAGATGTGGTACATGTTGAGAATGAAGATGTCTTGCCTTTCATTAGAGAAATGAGCTCTCCAACAACTACTGTAACAGTTTAAATGCAAAGAATTCAACACAGACTGGAAGACACTTCAGCCTCAGTCACTCTGGTCCTCTGGAACCACCAAGAACTACTTGCTGCTCATGTCCATCATGTCCATGACTTGGTCTAAAGGCTATTATTTAATTAAAGTGCTTTTTTAAAAGCAGCCCCATTATAAGGTATAGTGAAGGTGTCTAGAACCAGAAGGAACTGAATAATTTTCTTACCATTTCACAAAAACCATTAGACTCAAGCAAGGTGGAAATTGCTTAAAAAACAAGAGGAGTTAAAAAGCAAAGTTCTAGAAATTTGTCAAGGTAGAAAAGGCATTAAAAGCATAAATTAGAGAGGAAGGAGAGGACCTACTCACCTTTCTACCATCTTCTCCTGTCTTTAGTAACCCAACCCTGCTTCCCAGATCCTTGACCTCAGACCAGGAACACATTTAAACATAGATTCTTACTAATGCCAGAGGCAGCCAGGGCTTCCTAGGGAAGTAGGAACAAGGATAGTAAGACAGGAGATAAAGAGTTATTTTAAAACATTTTAGAAGTTAATTAAAACTCAGAGATATAAGAATGGACTTTGCAAGTATACTAGCTTCTGCACAAATAAAAACATTAAAGAGACCCTTATTCTTGAACCTGTTTTCAAAAGGGGAGAAGTCTAGCACAGTGAGATTTATAGAAATACATATTTGTATACACATAGACATAATACACATATTAAATTATAAATCTTTACTCTTGGTTTCTTCACTTCCTCTGACTTTCTCTGGCCAACTCATAAACCGTCTTCTGCTTGGCCATCGAGGAACGAAGTTGCAGAGTCCCTTCTGCCCAAGACCCTGGGTACTGTCGCATCTTCTGCCACAAGCTCACTTCTTCCCCAGTCGAGTCCATCCAGTCCACCACTTCCCCATTACTGATCCCTGAAAAGAAACACCAGAGGAGCCTGAACAGGGATCCCACCCCTTAGCTCACCAGAAAATACGGGCTTACAAGGATAGCCAGCCACCCCATAAATGACAGTGTGCTATGTAGATGGGCTAATAGGGACAGCAGTCTGGGAAGTATTCCCTGATGATTCTATTCCTGAGACTCTGTCAAGAGGCTTCTGATTAATGAAATGGGACTCCAACTGGGACACCAATAGTTAGAGACCTCTTATTTTGAGGCTTGTGTGGAGCTCTGGTGTCTGACAACTCACCTCATGCCAGAGCTATTGCCCTTCTGGTATTGCCAACTTGACTTAAATGTTTTGTGTGGTGTTGTGTGTTTTTTTTTTAATAAAGAAGCTGGACACCTTTTTTCTCTAGCTGTAAACTCCAGGCCTGAAGTTAGGATTGTACATGGCCTCATTCCTATTCTCTTGTACATTCATTCAATAAACATGTATTGAGTGCCGACTATTTGCCAGTACTCTTCTAAGCTCTAGGGAATGCAGTGATGAACAAAGCAGAAAAAGTCCTGCCTGTAGGTGGCTTACATTTGAATAGGAAAGACAGAAAATATCCAAGTAAATCAACAAAAATAATTCAGATAATGTAAATGTCATGAAGTTAGTAAACAAGGTGATTTGTAGTGCCTAGAGCAGGACATCCTTTAGATGGAGTGGTCTGAGGGCCTCTATGAAAAGGAGACACTTGAGTCAAGATCTGAAGGATAGGAAGGACCCAGCCTTTCCAGACAGGGAGAACACTAATTGCTTAGGTTATAAAGTGGAAATAAGATTTATATATTTGGAGAACAGAAAGAAAGTCATTGTGGTTGGAGCATAGTGAGTAAGCAGGAGAGATGCAGAGATGGATCATAAAGCAACAGAGAAGGTCTAGATCATATGGGGCCTGTAGGCATGCTGAGAACTTTGTTCTAAGTGCAATAGGAAGCCACTGAAGGTTTTTAAGCAGGAACTGACATGAATTGGCTTATATTTGTAAAAACATCATCCTAGATGCTTTGTATTAAGTGCTTTGTATGAGTTATTAATATACAATTACTATTTAAGGCCACAAGAATGCAGAGACTATAGAGAAAAGAAAAGGATCTAAGACTATGCCTTAAGAAACACCAACATTTAGAGTTTGTGTATAGAATGAGGAAACTACAAAGAAAATTGAGAAGGTGAGCAGTGAGTTAAAAGGGAGTATAATGTCTTGATTAAAAGCTAAGTATTTCAAGAAAAAGGAAGTGATCAGCTATGTTGGGTAGCACTTAAAATTCTAGTAAGAGTAAAACAAAACTTTGGCAGAAGCAATTGCTCAGTGGAGTAGTGGGACAGAAGTCAGCTCACAGTGGATTGAAGACTAAAGAAGAGGGGAGGGAGTGGAAATAATTATTTTTAATAAGTTAGAAGGGAGTTATAGGATCAAAGGGAGGTTTATTTATGTTTTTCAAAATCAGAAATACCAGAGCATATCTGTTTTCACCTCCAGTAGAAGGGAGAGAGAATGAAACTGATCAGTCAGGAGAGATAGGAGATTCCAGAAGTGAGGTCATTGAGAAGTGAGGATATGATTCAGAACATTTGGAAAAAGATTGACCTTTGCTAGAAAGGGCCTTTCTTTCATTATGACAGGATGGAAGATGGAAATTATAGGTACAGATATAAATAGGTTTTCAGATTTTTTTTTGGTGGGAAGATGATGGTGTTCTTGGAAATCAGGATCACATTTATCTGTACACATAAGAAAGAGTATATGAGCTGTATTCCTCTAGGCCTGCACGTAGTAGGTACTCAATAAATATTGGTTAACTCAAAGAAAAGAAGAAAACTCCTGTCATAAAGAAGCTTTGTAGCGAGGAAGTTAGTTATATTGGGAGTGAAATGCATGAAAGGCCTTTAAGATAGTAAGGAAGGGGAGAAGCTCTCACCAGTGCCAACACCCAGCCTGACCCCTCCCAGGAAGTCATTGCTGGCCAGGGGCTCCCGGTCCCACACAGTTAGTTCCAGGCACATGTGTTGTAGATCTTCCAGCCTCACACCATTGTAGACAAATGTATGGTTGTAGTGGGGATTCAGGGTCTTCTTCATCACAGGAGTTTTACGCTTACTGGCCTTGTTCCTCGCAGGAAGGAGGTATCTGGCAGAGGGCGGGGAGTAATCAACAACCTACTCAAGTCTGGCAATATGTATCTAAATTCTCCTTTCCACTACTACAGGCTTAGCTCAGGGATGTGTGCAAACTCTCAAATCCTAATATAAATATTCCTGCCTTTGAATCCGAAGCAGAGTTCCTACTAACCCCACTAGATCATTCATCTGATTCAATTCCTTCAACAAGGAGAGAAAAGTAATATAATGTTATTCTATTTAAAATATTATATTTATTATATTATATTATATTAAAATGGGTTTTAAATATTTGGTTACATTTCTTTTGGGCTAGGTCCTCTTTAAATAAAACCAATGTTAGTAACTATTGACATAGCCAAACATGATTTACTTGAGAACTTAATTCAGGGGGTGATCTATAATTTGGGGAAAGCTAGCATTGCTTAAATATTGTAGGGAACAAAGTAATGAGCCCTCGAATCTTAACTGTCAGGGGACAGAGGTTTATTATTATTATTATTAAGGATTAATTAATAGTATAAGTCTATAACAAAGGAAAAGCCAAACCTATCTGTCTACCACCCTTCTCTTTGGCAATCAGCACTACAATCCAGTCCAAACTGAGCTTAGACCAGTGCAAATGTTGTAGCGGTGGTTTTGCCATAAATTTCAGGAAAAAAAGTTGTTTGCTGGAGGTGGTAGAACACACAAATATAATATCCACAGAGAAAGGTTAAATTGGGCTTCTCCCTTAGCTCTCTTATCCTAAAATTGGTTAATTCCATGCTGGTACAGGGACTCACCCCTTGACAAAGCTGTCTGAAGTCCCTCCTGATTTGGCAGCCGTCAGGTTCTTGGCTTCTTTGATCCATACCTGGAGCTCTCCCCCTTCCCCACCTTTACCTGTAAGGGATGTCAGCCATAGCAAATAAGTGAGCCCCTACACCTCCAGATTTCTCTTGAGCTTTATCTACATAGCATTTCCTTCCCTTGATCCTGAAGGCAGCAAGCTCCATAACTGGACTGCACCTGGCCTGGATTCTCAGTACCTAGCAGAATGCCTGACAATAAGCAATAAACGCTCAATTAAGAAAAACAACAGCAATAAATGCTTATAGAAATCTTGCTGTGTGTCAGATTCTATGTTAAGCATTTAATTATTAAAATAACCCTATCCTATATAATAAAGAGGTAATATGCAAATTGACCATCACACCCTCGCACAAGATGGCCACCCCCACTTGGTCACAGTTAGGAGTTAATCAGGCTGGTAGGGGAGTGGTTAGGGGCAATCAGACAGGCAGCCACAAGATGGCTGGCAGGGGAGGGCAGTTGGGGACAATCAGGCCAGCAGGATAGCAGTTAGGCATCGATCAGGCTAGTAGGGGAGTGGTTATGGGCAATCAGACAGGCAGGCAGGCAATCCCTGTGGGATTGGGCCTAAACCAGCAGTTGGACATACTTTGAGGGGTCCCAGATTGGAGAGGGTGCAGGCTGGGCTGAGGGACCCCCCCCCAAATGCACAAATTTCATGCACTAGGCCTCTAGTTATCTACAACAATACTATTATTGTCCTCATTTTATAGGTGAGGAAATTGAGCCTTAGAGAAATAAAGTTGCCTAATATTAGTTGAATGACTAAAAAAAGAGGACTCCTCCACTGTGTTCTTGATTCTACTCCCACTTCACAGGATTCATCAGGCATCAACAATTTCAACCCCCATCTCCCATTTTTAATATCTGTTTTTTCACTGGTCCCTTCCCTTCAGTCTAAATATCTGTTAATCTCATCTCTCCTTGTAAAAATATATTTTAAAAAGAAAATTGCCTTTCAACCTTGTCTCATTTTCAGGCTATTCTCTATGTCCCTCCTTTCTTTTGCTATCAATTATCCTGAAAAAAAGAGTCCACACTCAGTACCTCTCCTTCTTTTGCCTCATTCACTCTGCCCAGTTTCTAGTGAAATCTGGTTTCTGCTTTAACACCCATAAGCCATGTCTTCTCAGTCCTCATTGGGCCTGACCTCCCAGTAGTATGTCAGTACTGTTGACAAGCCCCACTCCCTTCTTCAAGCTTTATCATGGCATTGCTCTCTCCTGATAACCCCCCTATCTCACTGGCTTTTCTTTCTCTCTTCAACCTTTATAATGGTGACATTTCCCATGGCTCTATCCTTGCCTCTCTTCTCTAGTCATTTTGCACAACCTCCTTGGGGATATCATTGATTCCCCACATCCTATAGTGAGACTTTGATGTAGGTATCTTTTTTAAGAACTTTGGGTTTCTATTGCCAATAGATAAATTTCAACTCCTTACTATTAGGTTCAAGGCCCTTTTTGGTGGGGCTCCAGCCTCACCAACAATTCCAGCCCTATTCCCATATCTATATCCTATAACTCCAGCCCCACTGATAAAAGGACTTCATTCCTTCACACTCACATACACCCCACATTTACCATGATCATGTTATTTTCTCTTCTGGAAATGCTCTTCTCACCCTATCCTCTTCCTTTTCTGCCTGATAAAGTCTTAAGTCCAGTTTCATCATTACTTTCTCTTTAAAGCTCCCAAATTTAACCAGAAAGAATTTATCACTCCTGCATCTGTATTCTTTTTGCATATGACTGTCTTTCTTGCTAAACTAAGCTTCTCAAGGGGAGCAAATATCATGTCTCATTCATCTACGTATCCATAGTCACTAGCACAGTGGCTGGTATGTTGATTCACTCTTCCTCAGCCTTCAACTTCCTGTCCCTCATTCTTCACCACCCCTTCCACCCATCCTTTCTAAGCCCCAAGGTTTCTGTTCTGTGGTGCTCTCTTAGTAGCTTGCCACAGCTGGACCAAAACCAAGTTAGTTTAATAACCTAAAAAATTAAATGCCAACCCTGAGGCATTCCCTTCTGGTTAAAAAATGCAGAAAAGGCTTACTTAGTAAGTAAATGAATCTTCCCTAGAAGATGATCCAGGGCTCATCTCAATCTGGTCTCTCCAACAGTGGTAGCCACCTCATACAGATCCTTTACAGAAGATAAGGGCTAAACCCAGGGCCCCAAAGAAAACTCACTCTTTTTCCGGTCACCTCCAACAGGGAGTTTGGAGGCTGGGATGTATTTCAATGAAACCACCAACTCGCCTTTGTGTGATGACAAGCCAGTCGGGGACTCAGCACTGATCTGAAACACATGGAAACAAACACAAGGTCAAGCTGAGCTTTTCAGGAGTTGTTGGGGCCTCTTGCTGAGGAGATTCTAAAATTATCCCCCCAAACAGCTCCACAGCATGAGGATCCTTCTCCTTATGAATATAATCCAGGGTCCCTAGGCCATGGCAGCCACCGGTTTCTAAGGTAATTTCTTCAGAAGGAGATGCAGAAGAACCAACAAAAGTATTCTGCAATGCCCACTATTTTACTACTTGGTGATACACCTACTAGATTCCAAATACTCTTACAGGTCTTCCAGCATGCTTGTCACACAAACTCATAAGGGACTGACACCATGATGAAGGATTTAGCTACAAGTATTGTTAGTAAAAGCCATGGAAACAACTTACATGTCAATCAATATAGGAAAGGTTAAATGAGTGTTTTTAATGCCCTCATATGGCATATGGCATATGGCATGCAATCATCAAAAGAATGTGGTGAATCTGTACACACTGACATGGAAAGATGTCCAACATGTTAAGTTACTAAAGCAAGATGCAGAAAAGTATCCCATTTATATTAAAATATATTCATATTTTTATATATGTAATGTGTATATATGTATGTGATTATTATCATTATCACTTAAATAGTACTTACTCTGTGCCAGGCACTGTTATAAGTACTCTAAGTATATCATTTTGTTTAATCCTCAAAACAGTCCCTATTAAATAGTTACTATTGTTCCCATTTTACAGATTATGGAACAGGGGAACAGAGAGGTTAAGTAATTTACCCAAGTACACACAGTAATTGGCAGAGACAGGATTCAAATTCAGACATTAACCACTCTACTATACTGCATAGAAAACCCCCAAATGATACAGACAAACTTAACACTTATTTCTTGTAAGGAAGGGAATGGAATGGTGAAAGAAAAAAGGGCTTTCACATTTTATTCTGTATATGTCTATATAGAGAATAGCATGTATCACTTGAATGATCTTCAAAGAAACATTTTCTTAAAGAAAGCTTCTCATAAAAAATTGAGGGCTAGATGGAACTCTGTTACAAGGACTTGAATATGTAGCAATTTTTTTATTTCAAATTTATGTTACTTTTGATTAATGACTGTCTCTATCATTAGAATCTAAATGCCAGAAGTACAGGAATCAAGCCTGTTCATCCTAGTATGCCCAACACTTAGCAAAGTTCCTGGCATGTACATGCTCCACAAATATTGACTGAATGAATGCAAAAGTGAATGAATGAATGTCCGGGATGAACAGCAAGTGACCTTTCATCTTGGGCTGTGGGTAGCAGAACTGCTTCACTCTATTGGCTCTTTCAGCATGCCTCTGCTCTTTATGCTTTAGTGCCTAGAGCATGAGCTGATGCACACTAGAAATGCCCTTTCACCTGCCTGTGTTCACTAGGGCTCCTCTAAATGAGGTCCTCATCATTGAAGACATCAATGCCAGGAGGGCATAATACTTATAACTTTAGAAAAATGTACCACATCCCCAGAATGCACAAAGTTTAGTGTATGGGTGAGAGAAAGAAAAAGGAGGTAATAGTGGTTACCAAAGGGAAAGGGGGCTGGGGGGAGGCCATAGAGATTAAAGGGGTCAAATGCAAGGTGATGGAAGAAAACTAGACTTCAGGTGGTGAGAACACAATAGAGTACACAGATGTTGTATTATAAAGTTGTACACATGAAATTTGTATAATGTTATTAACCAATGTTACCCCAATAAATTCAATGTAAAACATAATAAAGGTGGTGGATGCCTGGAAGAGAATATTGATCGGGAGGCAAAAAGATTATTGGGGGGAAAAACAAACAAACTAGGGACAATAAATGTAGAATGTTTTAAGTTAAATAGATATGTAATATTGAAATAGTCTTTGTATTATTTATAAAATGTCTACAAAATTTAAATTTCTAAATTGTGAATTTCAGTGGACTGTTAAGAATTGGATTTAGCCTTAGTTGGAAATTGGCATGTTTGTTTCAGTAATATATCTTCATTCTGGCTGAAACCGGTTTGGCTCAGCGGATAGAGCGTCGGCTTGTGGACTGAAAGGTCCCAGGTTCGATTCCCGTCAAGGGCATGTACCTTGGTTGCGGGCACATCCCCAGTGGGGAGTGTGCAGGAGGCAGCTGGTCGATGTTTCTCTCTCATCGATGTTTCTAACTCTCTATCTCTCTCCTTTCTTCTCTGTAAAAAAAACTCAATAAAATATATTTAAAAAAATATATCTTCATTCTGGTTCCAAATAATTGCAAAGAGCAAATACCTCCATTTTAATACAGCTTTAAATTGATGTTAAGCATTTTTATTGGCAGTAGTTCATGATGGTTTGTACTACCATTTCCAGTATTATTATATCAACTGTAGTAGGCCCTTGACTGTGAGATTATGGAACTGGGGACAACTTGTGTGCCAAATGCTTAAGAAATTCTAAATTTCTAACAATATTCTATAGTTTTGTGATAATTTAATTCCTGTTTTTACTAGTATTTAAAGGGGCAAATTTAATTTTTACTGGTGGTTTTGGGTGCTTTTGGAGGGCAAAAGCTATCAAAATATTATATGTACATTTCCTTTGACTCATCAGTTCCATCACCAGAAATTTCTCCTATAGTCACATATATTACAGCAAAGGTGTAACAGCAAAAAAAGCAACAATTTAAATGTATATCAGTGGGGGAATGGTAAATAAATTATAATATAGACACATGAAAGAATATTATACAGCAATAAAAATGAGATAGATCTGTAAGTGGTGGCAGAGAAAGATGTCCATGGTAAATGACAAATTGCTAAATAAAAAATCAAGATATTTATAAACAATGAGTTTTGTATGAGCCATTTGTGTAAAAAGGAAAAAAAAATATAAATCCATATGTGCACATTAGTGCTGCTTAAAATTTCTATAAAGTTATCCAAGTAGTTGATAAACAGTGATTATTTTTAGGGAATGGAACCTACTTTTCTTCTTATACATGTCTATGTTGTTTTAATTTTTAACCATGTACATATAAATTCTTAATTGTTAAATGAGTGTTATTACACATATACACACACACACACACACACACACACACACACACACACACGGTAAAAAGTTCAAACACTTTAAAAGGGTATATACACTGAGTTGCCAGATTATTATGACCGGCCAGATAATTATGACCACCTCATCAGTACTTCATTGACACTTCCAAAAATACTGAATATTGAAAACTTTCTAAGCAAATACTCTCAAGGTTTTATTATTATTATTATTTGCATAACTAATTCAATTCATTGTACTGATGGAGTGGTCATAATAATCTGGCTGGTCATAATAATCTGGCCACTCAGTGTAGAGAAAAGTAAATTACCCTCCCACCTCAGTCTCTCTTCCTGGAGGCAGCCACTACTACTAGTTTCTTGTCTATCTTTGCAGAAATATTCTATGTACCATGTCCTATTTTTAGCAATTAAAATGCTAGTATAAAAAAGTGTTACAGAAGGACCTTAAAATTGAACAGTTATGATAATCAAGAAGTCCTGACTCTGTTTTAGCAACTTCATCTTAACCAGAATGACAGCAACCTATTGAATGTCCATTATGTACCAGGCATTAATTGGTACTTTGTATACAATCCTGCAAAAGAGGAATATTATTACCTTCATTTTATAGATGAAAAAACTAAGGTTCACAGAAGTTAGGTGACTTACCTAAGTTATTTTATAAATTAGATGACTTAACTACCTGGCAAATAGCAGGACCAGGATTCAAATCTAGGTCGGCACTCAAATCCTAGCCACTATCATGCACAATGATAAACTCTTACCTGAGGTGCCATCTCCATTTCCATTGCTTGTGTTACCAAGAGCACAGTAATTGGAACTCCATTAATTGTTTTACTTCCCACGTCTTTAATGAAAAAGTTAACTTGGGAAAGGAGCGCAGATTAGGATACACCGAAAAGGTTAGCTTGGGGACGAGGTGCAATTTAGGATGTTAGGATATAGCCATACCCTGGAAGTTTAGGAGGAAAAGCGTGGCACACATATGAAAGACTTCAAAGAAAACTATGGCTTCATCTGCTGGTCATACAAGTGCATCTGAAATTACTGTCAAACTCAGAAACTCCAGCAGAGTGCGCTAGAACTATACAGCATACTACATTCAAAGACGTTACCAACAAGTACCAGCAGAGGACACTGCAAACAATTCCACCTCAGATGCAAACTGCCTGAGTTGTAAAAGCAGACAGACTACCTTTCCATGCAAAGGAAGGCAATGTTCCAGTTTCTTATCAAGCTTCCAGGAATCCATCTGGACATCTGCCTCTCCAAGAAAAGTGTTTCTACCAAAACGACCATGATGCCAAACTGAGAACTGCAATGTCCTTTGGGCCAGGAGGGATTCTGGGATCTCATACTGTGAAAAACAAGGAGAAAACCAAGATAATTAGTGATAATTCCTCAGCAAAGATTACTCCAAAATCTGAGCAACCATACCCAAAGTCCATAGTATCAAACATCACATTACGCTAGCCCAGTGATGGCGAACCTTTTGAGCTCGGCGTGTCAGCATTTTCAAAAACCCTAACTTAACTCTGGTGCTGTGTCACATATAGGAATTTTTTGATCTTTGCAACCATAGTAAAACAAATATATTTTTGAGATTTATTTTATATATTTAAATGGCATTTAACAAAGAAAAATCAACCAAAAAAATGAGTTCGCGTGTCACCTCTGACACGCATGTCATAGGTTCGCCATCACTGCTCTAGTCCCTGAGCACTATGAGTTTCCTCACTCAAAGCCTCCACTTACCCCATTTGACAAAAAACTACCATATTCCACGGGAGAACCTGGAAATTAATTTTCCTTGAGTGGGTAAGAGAATACTGGAACATTAAAAAAATTGTCCAGAGACTCTTAATCCCAAATGATGCTATTTAAATTTTACTTTACAATTACAGATTATATTCAACATTATTTGGTATCACTTTCCAGTATATGCATAGTGGTTAGATAATCATAAGTTTTACAAAGTGCCCCCCTAACATTTCAAGTACCCACCTGGCACCATACATAAGTTATTACAATATTGTTCACTATACTCTCTGTGCTGTACCTTACATCCCCATGACTATTTTGTAATTACCAATTAGTACTTCTTTTTATTGTTGTTAATCCTCACTTGAGGACATTTTCCCATTGATTTTTTGAGAGAGTGGAAGGGAGGGGGCGAAACAAAGAGAGAAACATCCATGTGAGAGAGACACATTGATTGCTTGTCTCCTGCATGTGCCCGACTTGGGGATTGAGCCTGCAACGGAGGTTTGTGCCCTTGATCAGAATGGATCCTGTGACTCTTCAGTCCATGGGCTGATGCTTTATCCACTGAGTCAAACCGGCTAGGGCCCAACTAGTACTTCTTAATCCCTTCACCTTTTTTACCCAGCTCCCCAAACCCTCCCTCCTTTCTGGCACCCATCACTGTGTTCTCTGTACCTGTAAATCTGTTTCTATTTTGTTTATTTTCTTCTTCTTTTTAACTCTAGTTGAATCCCATGTATTTCCCCCACTGGAATAATCTACCCAATCTCCCTGATCCTATTCTTTACTGTCTTCTCTCACTAGCACCTACTAGGTCCTGATCCTGCTCCAGGCAATTCTACTATGGCTGAAAGAGCACTGGATTTGGAATCAGGCATCCAGCCTTCTCACTTTCTGTGTGACTTTACAAACATGGTTTAACCACTCTGGACTTCAGTTCCTTCATATGTAAAATAGAATTATGGTAATGCCTCCCTTGTAGGATTGTGGGACTAGTACTGGGCTAAACTGATGCTTCATTCAGTTTGGGCTCTTTGAATGAGGCTTCTGGGGAAACTGAGGTCACTCAAGGGCTCTTAACCTGCTACAAATTTGGGTTTCTTTGGATATATTCCCAGAAGTGGGATCACTGGGTCAGAAAGTAGTTCCATTTTTAGTTTTTTGAAGGAATTGCTTACTGTTTTCCACAGTGCCTGTACCAGTCTGCATTCCTACCAGCAGTTCCCCAGGAGCTCCTTTTCTCCACATCCTCACTAGCACTTGTTAATTTATTGATGAGCCATCTGACAGGCATGAGGTGATATCTCGGTGTGGTTTCAATTTGAATATCTTTGATGATTACCGTATTTGCCGGCGTATAAGACGACTGGGCGTATAAGACGACCCCCTAACATTTCCACTCAAAATACAGAGTTTGTTATATACTCGCCGTATAAGACTACCCCCTCTTCCGCACACCTTCCACACACCAAATAAAAGGTAAAGCAATATCAGATTTGATTTTAACATTTTAATTTATATTCAAATGATTATGACATGCAGGAAAACTGTCACAAGGCTGTATGTAATCAAACATATACATAAAACAGTGCAAGTTTATTACCGGTAAACATACCGGTAATTCACTAAAGAAAACACACTCTATAGCATGTTCATCAACGACATCTTGGTGCCATGATAGGGATGATAGGGGTTTGACTGGTCGACGTTTTCTATGCTGTACTGTACAATGGGGCAGTATTGTGGTTGGCTGTTGGCTGTATACAAAGCCTGATTTGATTGGTCCCTGCTCCCTGTTTGCCCGCCCTGTCACTATAGCAGTCTGGTCCACCCTTGCATCAGCATCTCCCTGGGACCTCACTAGTGCGCAAGTGCGAGCTCTTCAACATTCTAAGAGGCATCATGATAGCGCAAAATCACGAATCTTCAATGCATATGTAAAGAAATATACGGTAACCCGAATTTACCACACTCGCAAAATCGCACACAGCCAACCATACACCCAGTATGGTATCGCGATTCGCGATTTTGTGCTATCATACTGGGTGTATGGTCGGCTGTGTGCGATTTTGCGAGTGTGGTAAAATCGCATAACAGCAAAATCGCATAACAGCCGAGCATACACCCAGCAGCGCTGCTTATGCCTGAACGGTATGTGGAATGAAGTGGGCGGGCATCGGGAGGCCACTATGGCACGGGGCAAGCACTATGGGCATTCTATCTGAAGTGTACCTGGCGTATAAGACGACCCCCCACTTGGAGGCATATTTTTCAGGGCCAAAAAATCGTCTTATACGCCGGCAAATACGGTAGTGATGTGGAGCATCTTTTCATGTATATTGGCAATCTGTATGTCCTCTTTGGAAAAGTGTCTATGCAGGTCCTTTGCCCACTTTTATTTTTTAAATTTTTTCTTTATTGATTAAGCTATTACATATGTGTCCTTATCCCCCGATTGTCCTCACACCCCCACTCATGCCCCCACCCCCCTGGTGTCTGTGTCCCTTGGTTAGGCTTATATGCATGCATACAAATCCTTTGGTTGAGCTCTCTCCCTTACTCCTTTGCCAACGATATCTCTGATAAGGGTTTAATCTCCAACATTTATGGGAAACTCATACAGCTTAACAAAAGGAAGACAAACAACCCAATAAAAAAAATAGGCAAAGAACATCAATATATACTTTTCAAAAGAAGACATAAGGAAGGCCAAGAGACATATGAAAACATGCTCAAAGTCACTAATTATCCGAGAGATGCAAATCAAAATGACAACGAGGTAGCACTTCACACCTGTAAAAATGGCTATCATCAACAAATCAACAAGTGACAAGTATTGACGAGGATGCGGAGAAAAGGGAACTCTTGTGCAGTATTGAGATTTTTCTTGAGGTAGGCCTGTATTACCATGAATTTCCCAATTGAGACTGCTTTCACTGTGTCTCATAAATTTTGGGTTGTTGTGTTTTCATTTTTATTTATCTCAAGGTATCTTTTGAATTCTTCCTTGATCTTGTTGTTAATCAATTTATTGTTTAGTAATATGTTATTTAACCTCTATGTGTTTTTGTGTTTTTCATTTTTTCTTGTAATTGATTTCTAGTTTTAAAAGATTGTGATTGGAGAAGATACTTGATATGACTTCAATCTTCTTAAATTTATTGAGATGTTTTAACATGTGGTCTATTTTGCAAAAAAGTTCCATGTGCACTTGAAAAGAATGTATATTCTGCCATTCTGGAGTAAAATGATCTGAAAACATTAAATCCATCTGGCCTAATGTATCATTTAAGGCTGCTGTTTCCTTGTTGATTTTTCATCTGGAAGATCTATCCATTAATGTCAAAGGGTGTTAAGGTAGTCTGCTATGACTGTATTACTCTTGACCTCTCCCTTTATGTCCATCAATATTTCCTTTATATATTTATATGCTCCTGTGTTGGGTGCATAAATGTTAACAAGGATTATAGCCTCTTGTTGGATTGATCCAATTATTTTTATGTAATGTCCTTCTTTGTCTTTTAATAGCCTTTAAAATCTACTTTGTCTGATATAAGTACTGATATCCCAGCCTTTTTTATATTCTATTTGCATGAAATATTTTTTTCCATCCTTTACTTCAGTCTGTGTGTCTTTTCATATGAAGTAGACCTCTTGTAGACAGCAGGATCTTACTTTCTTATCCATTCAGCTACCCTATGTCTTTTGATTGGAGCATCTAATCCATTTAAATATAAAGTGATTATTTATACGTACCTATTTATTGCTATTTTCATTCATATTTATTTTTCTGTTTTTATTTTCTTTTTTCTTTAACTCCCTTGAACCTATCTTGTAATACCAGTTTGGTGGTGATGAACTCCTTTAGCTTTTTCTTCTCTGAGAAGCTCTTTATTTTCCTTCAGTTTTAAATGGTAGCCTTGCCAGGTAGAGTAATCTTGGTTCTAGGTCTTTATTTATCACCACTTTGAATATTTCATGTCAGTCACTTCTGGCCTGAAAAGTTTCTGTTGAGGAATCAGCTCACAGTCTTATGGGGGTACCTTTGCAGGTAACTGTTTTTCTCTTGCTGATTTTATGATTTTCTCTTTGTCTTTAACCTTTGCCATTCTAATTATGATGTATACTGGTGTGGGTCTGTTTGGGTTCATCTTGTTTAGGACTCTGTACTTCCTGGACCTGTGTGTCTTTTTCATTCATCAGGGTAGGAAAGTTTTCAGTCATTATTTTTTCAAATAGGTTTTCAATCCCTTACTCTCTCTTCTCCTTCTAGTTCCCAGATGATATGGATGTTGTTAAACTTAATGTCTTCACAGAGGTCCCTGAATCTTCATTTTCTTTAAATTCTTTTTTCCTTTCAATGCTCTGATTGTGTATTTTCTGCTACATTTTATTCCAAATCACTGATGTAATCCTCTTCATCTACTTTGCTATTGATTTCTGACAGTTTATTCTTCATTTTAGATATTGTATTACTCATTTTGACTGTTTTTTATGGCTTCTATGTCCTTTCTTATGCTTAGTAGCTCTTTTTTTTTTAAATTCTCAATGAGTTCATCCAGTCTTCCTCTAAGTTTCGTCAGCATCCTTATAACCATTACTTGGAACTCTGTATCACTTTATTGTTTGCCTCCATTCCATTTATTTCTTTTCCTGGAGAATTCTTCTATTCTTTTATTTTGGGACATGTGTCTTTATCTTCTAATTTTGGCTGCCTCTCTGTGATTGTTTCTATGTATTTGGTAGATATGCTATTTCTCCCAGGTTTTGTAGAGTGGTCTTATGTAGTTGGTGTTCTGTGGGTCTTAGCAGTGCAGTTTTATGATTACCTGAGCTGGGTGCTTTAGGAGTGTGTCTTGTGTGGGTTATGTGATCCCTCCTGTTGCATTTGAGTCTTTAATGATGTTGGCCCAATAGGGAGTGGAGTTGACCCTCAGGCAGGCTCAGCCTGTGAGAATTGACCCCAACCATAGTATATGAGCTGCTGACCCCTGAGGTGGAACTTGCACCTGCAGGTTCTGTTACATGTCCATACCACCTTTCTGTGGGCCATGTTCTGATGTGGTCTCAAGCTAGCCAACAATGTGTTGGTTCTGAGGCCTCTTGGAAGGGACTCCAGTGCACGTCAATTTAGACAGTCTGTAGCTGGTCCCAGGTTACCTGTTAGGCGCCACAAGGAAATCCACGGTTGGTAGCTGCTCTTGCATGGCCTTAGTTCTTACTGGAGGGGCCAAGCTGTGCATCAAGGCTGGCTGACACCAGTACTGAGTCTGGGGCAGGTCACCAAAAGTCCCAAGGCACCCCAAAACTCATCATCGCCTGCTGGCTGCCTATTAGACTTAGTCTCTAAAAGAGCCTCTGGCAGTACATGAGTTGCATGAGGCAGGTTCTCAGTGAGTTACCTGGTAGTGGTGCATATTTCATACAAAGTAGGCACCAGTGCTGGGTCTAAGGCCACTCAGCAAAAGTCTCAGGGTATGCCAAGGCCAGCTGCTGCCTGCCTGAGGCCTGCAGACCTTTGCAGTGGGGTGGGCCTTGAGGGAGTTGGCAGAGAGGGGTTAATGCCTCTCCCTAGGCTCATGCTGTGTGATCGTGGAAACTGGCCAAACACAGGAATGGTGGTGCCTCCTTGTGCATGTAGGAAAAATGGGCCCTCACCCCAAAGCTACACAACTCAGTTTCTCCCTGTGTGTCTGGCATTCCCTGAGTTTTTCTGAATTTCCTTGAGAGTTTTTCAAGAAAGACTGCAATGCAGGTCCAGGCTGGAGGCCTTGAGCATATATCTCCATTGGAGTTTCTTTGGCAGAGCAGGCCTCAGGTACTCAGTCAGGAGGGGCCAGTGCATCTCTCCTGGCTAATGCTGTATGTGGAAGTGCTTGACCCAGGAAAGATGGCATCAATGGGCAGTATAAAAGACAGACCCAGCACAAGTACATTGGTGTCTATCCCTCCAGCCCTTTCCCCAAGTCATTCAATCAAATCTCTTCCTGTATGAAACCAGTCTCCTCCCTCTTTCGAGCCATCATCCCTTCCATAGAGCCCAGGGTGAGTGCCTGAAAGTGAGATTTTGTGTACTGGTTCTTTAAGAGGATTCCTGGGTTTCCAGCAGTCTCCCATCACACCTTGGTGGATGGATTCCCTGCTGATTTTCACAGCCAGATATTATGTGAGCTCCTTTTCCCAACTAGGGTACTCTGGGCTAGGGAGTCTGGCATGTAGTTGAGGTCCCTTGCTCCTATGAGGGAATCTCTTCAGCAGAACTATCCCTTCAGGTTCTAAACCACAGCAAGTATGTACAGGGTCAGTTCTTTTCATGTCTCTGCCCCTCCTACCAGTCTCAACGTGCCTTCTGTATATCCTTAGTTATGACTTCTGTTCAGCTAGTCTTCAGTTGGGTATTCAGATTAATTGTTCTGTAGTTTAGTTGTAATTTTGCTATGGTCCTAGGAGAAGGTAAGTGTAATTTCTATCTACTCTGCCACCATCTTTGATCCACCAAATGACTTCTTAAATGGAGATTTGTGGCCATGTGAATATCTATCTTCACAACAATCCATGAAAGACAGATCACCTTTGTTCTCTTCTCTGGAGGCCAGGATGTGAACAGATGCCCATAGTGTATTCCTAGACACAGACATGGCCACTGAAAACCATGTCAACCAGCCATGTAGCAGGAGAACAGCTACAGCTTACTTAGTGCACAAGATAGAACATGTTCCCCTTCCCTCTGGATCTGGATACTTACTCTGAAGGTCTCATCATATAGTGGATTGATGGTGTCCCTCTTGATGCTGGTTTTTCTTTTTCCTTGCCTGGACTTGTCAGGCAGCAGATAAGTCTTCACATATCTGGAAACCAGAAATTAAAATGTCATATCAAACCCTCTTAGATATGCCATTCTTGCATTTTCCCGATCGTGGTCCCTTTCCCACATCTCTCCTAACCACTCTCAATCACACATTCCTATTCGTCCAGGAAGGGATAATCTCAGTTCAAGAGTTCCGAAATAGATGACAGGGTCTGAGCGCTCATTTCAGAGCATCAGTCAAGTTCTAGAAACACTCACGGATTAGAGCGCTTCTTAGCTTCATCAGCATAAGCCAGCTGGTGGCACTCCTTCACGTGGATGACCAAAGTCTGTGTTTGCTGCTCATACTTCAGGGAAAAGGAAATCTTGCCAGTCACAGAGATGTTCCCGAAATCACCAGCTTCACTATAGATGCTCATTGTGCTGCCTATTGTACTCTGAAGATAAAGCACCCACAAACATCTGGTGAAGGCACACTCCCCCATCCACATGGCTCACATCTTTCCTCATGATACAACCACAGTCACTGAATAAAACAAAAATTTCCAAAGTTCCTACAACAAGCCAGTATACCAACACTCTTGTATTCAGAGTATAAGAACATCTAGTAGCACTCTCACTTCAGCTCATGACTCTTATAGGTTCTTAGTTTCTCCTCTTCCCCTATTTTTACATATTTTATGGTCAATTTTCACCTGCCTTAGAAGGTGGGCAAGGCATACAGGTAAAGTGGACATAATCTCACTTCTGGTATTTGTTATATATGCTAAAACACTCGCTATAAGGGGACAGTTACTACTTAAAAACAAAGTGCCTTAATTATCTGTGTGTTTCTTTTCCCTATCTTATTCCTATTAAAGGCTACAGAAAAAAGTGAATGGATCAAAATCCCACCTGAGGTAAAAATACATCTTCTCAGGTTGTGATAAACTCTGAAAGCCTGCATTTCTCTTCCTGTGTGTGAGCAGGAACAAACTCTAAACACTCTGGTTCCTGACTCTTGTTCCTCCTAAACATCAATCTTCATACTTATGATGTAACTAGGCCCTAATTCTTAAATGTTCTTTTAACTTCATGATTATGATTGGTACTGTTGCTCCTTAATCACACCCTAATGCCAATTAATACTGCCAGGACCCTTCTCATGACACTATCCTTGAATGTGAGATTTGGGTTGGGTTCTGATAAAGAAATCTGATCTTGCTCACTTCATGGCCTGAGTAACTCTTTAAGAAAGAAGTTAAGGGTTACTGTTCAAAAAGCTGTGATGAAACACGTCTCTATTCCTAATTCTTATGTGACATATTAATCTCTAGGACAGAGGCTGAGGAAGTCACCTACCTGTGCAGTAAGCAACTACGATCTAAATTGAGGACAGGAACAGTTAGTCTAAGTTGACACCTACCTTCTCCCCTGCCGGCCTGATCACCCCTAACTAGCCTCCCCTGACAATACCTTTCTAGGTTACCTAGAAAGAGTGACTAGAATGTTTCCCCAGGTCCTGACTCTACTCCAAGGTGGCACTTTCTTCCTTCCTGGTATCTAAACATGTCTACAGTCAAAGAACTAATAGAACTTACCATGGAGGAGCCACTTCGCAGGCTGCTTCTGGCTAGTTTCTGGCGATGCAACTTCACCAGGTGGTCAATGTCTTCTTCTTCCTCTTCTTCCTCTTCTTCTTCTTCTTCCTAAAGCAATAAGTATAAATTCAGAGTTAATAAAAATAAGAAATATCTCAAAAACTAATATTCTTCCTTTAGTGGAAGCCATAATTGTTGCTAAGCCCTGAGATGTCATGTGAACATGTATGCACATATCCTTATTTTTGTCCCCCCATTTCAAGCTTCCAAGCTGTATTCCAAGCATCATTCTCAAATATCAAAGAATAAGATTAAGAATATCTCTTTCCCATTTGACTGCCCCAATCCAGCCATCCGTTTACATTTTAATAAAAAATAAGTATTTATTTGAGCACCCAACGATATATCAAACAATGTATTAGAAGATAAAAGAGACAGTGAAGACAGTCTTTCTTTAAGCAATTCAGCAACCAGATTTACTTTAGTAATTTGGGAAAATAAAGATTCATGTTGCCTTTTCCTAAATAATTAAACAGGTTGGTTGAGATTATGTGGTACTAAAGTCTGTTCTAGATATATAAAATTTCACCTAGTGACCATGTGAAATAGAAAGATACTTACCATATCCATACTGAGTCCAGGGACAGATTTGCTTCTGTCTCCCAAGGAGCCACATTCATGCCCCACATCTTCCGGGCGAAGATCAATCACAGATTTAGTATATTCTAAGTGGAAGACCAAAATACCAAATCAAAAGAGACATACTATTCTCCATACTAAGAACCCATCAAGGGCACTCAGAATTTCAATCTCAAAAGGCCATGAAAGAAAGATGGCTACCTGAAGGCCTGAAGATTTTTCTGGTGTTCTTCTTGAATATCATTTCACCCTCATTGACAGATACCACATTTTGACCTCCAGATTGAGTTTCCTAGGAAAGAATAGGGCAAGGAAATTGGAAAGGACAGCTGGATAAGTGAAAGGATGGAGTAAGAAAGAATAACCTCATAAAGAATAAGGCTCAGGGAATTGATCTAAGATGGCGGAGTAGATGGAAGTTAGACTCACCTCCTCCCAGGACAACATCAAAATTATAATTAAACTAGTGGCCCGGTACATGAAATTCATGCAGTGGAGGGATCTCCTCAGTCCAGCCTGCCCCCTCTCTAATCCGGGACCCCTTGGAGGATGTCCAACTGCCAGTTTAGGCCTAATCCCGGGACAGCTGGCTCTTAACCACTCAGGTCCCGGATTGTGAGAGGGTGCAGGCTGGGCTGAGAGACACGCCCCCCACCCCCATGCACCGCACAAATTTTGTAGGCAAATTAGTGGTGGTCATAAAAATCTGGCCACTCAGTATGCAGATGGTGACCAGTGGCCTCCCTCCTAAGCCAGCCTGATTGCCCCCAACTGCCCCCCCTGCTGGCCTGATCACCCCTAACTGCCCCCACCACTGGTCTGGTTGCCCCTTACAGCCTCCCCCCACCGGCCTGGTCAGCCCACGCAGCAGTCCCAGTTTGTGAGAAGGATGTCCAACTGCCAGTTTAGGCCTAATCCCGGGACAGCTGGCTCTTAACCACTCACCTGCCTGCCTCATTGCCCCTAATCACTTCTGCCTGCCTGCCTCATTGCCCCCTAACCACTCCCCTTCCAGCCTGACTGTTGTTCAGTCATTTGGTCGTCCCTCACTAACTCCCCTGCCAGCCTAGCTGCCCCACACAGCCTGCTTGTTCAGTCATTTGGTTGTCCCTCACTAACTGCCCTGCTGGCCTGGCCATAGGCAGCCATCTTTGTGAGGGCATGAGGGTCAATTTGCATATTACCTCTTTATTATATAGGATTATAAAACAATCAACCTGGATAATCATCTTAAGACTAGCTGAACAGAAGTCTTATAACTAAAGATTTACAGAAAAAGCTACTTCAAGACTGGTAGGAAGAGTGGAGATACAAAAAGGGCTGCTCCTGTACCCATGGTTGAGAATCTAGAAGGATAGCTCAGCTTCAGAGTTTCCCCCCTGAGGAGTGAGAGGTCTCAACCCCATGTCAGGTTTCCCAGACCAGGACACAAGTACATATAACATCTGGTTTTGAAAATTAGTGGGGATTCTGTCCACCCAGGTGAGATGAGAGACTGCTGGAAACCCAGGCACCCTCTGAAAAAAAGAAGTGCACAAAATCTCACTTGCAGGCACTCACTTAGTGGAGGGATGGCAACTTATAGGATACTGACATCATGCAGGGAGAAACTGAATTGTGTAGTTTCAGGAACAGGGCTAGAGGGAAAACCACTGATGTGCCTGTGTTGAGTCCCTCTCCCACATTGCACACAGATGCCATCTGATCCTGGGTCAAGCACTCCCCTCCATATGGCATTAGCCAGGAGAGAGCTACACAAATCCCACCCTGCCAACTTCTTTAGGCACCACCCTGCCGAGCTCGCACTCAGCTGTGGGCTTTGCTGGCAGCAACCAGTCTGGGCCTGAATTACAGTCTTTCTTAAAAAAAAAAAACTCTCAAGGAATTCAGGGCAACCTCAGGAGGTGCCAAAAACACACAGGGAGAGACTGTGTTGTGTGGCTTTAGGGCTAGGGCCAACTTCCCCCCAGCCCACATGCCTTACTGGTACAACTGTTGCTGTGTTGGGTCCCCAAAACCTCACCTCAGCATCAGCCTGAAGAACTATGTTAGCCCAACCCTGCCAACTCCCTGAAGCCCCACCCAAACAAGTTCACAAAAGGTTGTGGGATCTGCTGGTGGCGACCAGCCTGAACCCGCATTATAGTCTTCCTTCAAAAACTTTTGAGGAATTCCAGGCAAGCTTAGGGGTGCCAGAGGCACACAGGGAACATACCTCAACATAATAAAGGCCATATATGACAAACCAACAGCCAACATCATATTCAATGGGCAAAAACTAAAATTATTTCCACTAAGAACAAGAACAGGATGTCTGCTGCCATCATTTATATTCAACATAGTACTGGAAGTCCTAGCTACAGCAATCAGACTAGAAGAAAAAATAAAACACACTCAAATTGGAAATGAAGAAGTACAACTGTCATTATTTGCAGATGACATAATACTATATAGAGAGAACCCTAAAGATTCCATCAAAAAAAACAACTATAAGAACTGATCAATGAATTCAGTAAAGTAGCAGGATACAAAATAAATATTCAAGATTGGTTGCATTTTTATACACCAATAATGAAATATCAGAAAGGGAAACTAAGAAAACAATACCATTTACAATTACATCTAAGATAAAATACCTAGGAATTAATTTAACCAAAGAGATAAAAGACCTGTATGCAGAAAATTATAAAACACTAAAGAAATAAATTGAAGAACATACAAATAAATGGAAGCATATGCCATACTCAGGAAGAATTAAGATCATTAAAATCTCCATACTACCTAAATCAATCTATAGTTTCAATGCAATTAGTATAAAAATACTAATGGTACATTTCACAGAACTAAAACAAATAATCCAACAATTTCTATGGAACCACAAAAGACCCTTAATAGCCTCAGCAATCTTGAGAAAGAAGAACAAAGTTAGACCTATCACACTACCTGATATAAACCATTACCTCAAGGCCATAGTAATCAAACCAGCATAGTACTGGCTTAAAAACACACACCAGTGGAACAGAATAGAGAGCCCAGAAATAAACCTACAACTATATGGTCAATTAATAAAGGAGGCAAGAAGGGGTAAAGATAGTCTGGTCAGTAAATGGTGCTGGAAAAATTGGGCAGATAAATGCAAAAAAATAAAATAAAAAAATGAAACTAGACCACCTTCTTATACCACATACAAGAATAAACTCAAAATGGTTTAAAGACTTAAGGGCAAGACTGGAAACCATAAAACTCCTAGAAGAAAACATAGGCAGTAAACTGTCTGACATTGTTCTTAATAATATTTTTTCTGATATATCTCCTCAGGCAAAGGAAACAAAAGAAAACACAAGCAAATGGCACTCACCAAATTAAAAAGGTTTTGTAAAGCATAGGAAACAATCAACAAAATGAAAAGAATCTACTGAATGGGAGAAAATATTTGCTAATGATACATCTGATAAAGGATTAATATAAAAATATATAAAAAATATATATACAACTCAGCAACAACAACAACAAAACAAAGAACACAGAAAATGTGCAAAGCACCTGAATAGACACTTCTCCAAAGAGGACACCAGATGCTCAAAAGACATATGAAAAGATGTTCAATGTCACTAATCATCAGAGAGATGCAAATTAAAACCACAATGAGCTATCACCTCACACTTGTCAGAATGGCTATCATCAATAAATCATCAACAAATAAAAAGTGTTGGCAAAGATGTGGAAAAAAGGGAACCCTCATGCACTGTTGGTGGTGCATCCATTTTGGAAAACATTGTGGAAGTTCCTCAAAAATTTAAAATAAAAAATGGAATTTCCTCCCTGGTCAGTGTGGCTCAATGGTTGGAGCATCAACTCATGTACTGTAGGGTCACGAGTTCCATTCCAGTCAAGGGCACATACCTGTGTTACAAGGGCACAGTCAGAGCACATGTAGGAGGCAACCAATCAATGTGTCTCTCTCACATCGATGTTTCTCTCTCTCTCTCTCTCTCGAATCAACCAATGAATACATAAGTAAGTGGAACAATTCATCTCTCTCTCTCTCTCTCTCTCCCCCTTCCCCTCCCTCCCTTTCTCTCTCTAAAAATCCTTGGGGGGAAAAATCCTTGGGTGAGGATTAACAAAACAAAACAATGGAACTTCCTTATTGACCTAGTGATTCCACTTCTGGGGATTTATCTAAAGAAACCGAAAACAGTAATTTGAAAGAATATATGCACCCCTATGTTTATTTTAGTGTTATTTACAACAGGAAATATATATAAGCAACCTGAGTGCTCATCTATAGAAGAGTGGATAAGTAAGTAGTGGTATTGAGTGGCCAGATTATTATGACCACCTGACGTTTGTAGGCAAATTAGCCGTACACTGCATCGTATGGGATATGGAAGCCAAAGGCCTGTTTGAACACCTTTGCTGTCTGCAGTTACCAAGATAAAACATCTCCAATTCGCACAGGAACATGAGGATTGGACAGTCGAGCACTGGAAAAAAGTCATGTGGTCCAATGAATCACGTTTCCAGTTGCATCATGCAGATGGCAGAGTGACAATTTGGTGGAAACAGCATGAAAGCATGCACCCCACATGCATAAGGGGGCCTGGCCCTCTAGAAACTTCAGTGCGAAAATTATAACTAATTTACCTACAAAGATGGGGTGGTCATAATAGTCTGGCCATTCAGTATATATACATTACTTGGCCATAAAAAAAGAATGAAGTCTTACCATTTGTAACAACATGGATGGACCTAGATGATATTATACTAAGTGAAATAAGTGAGATACCGAAAGAAAAATACCATATGATTTCACTTAAATGTGGAATCTAAAGGACAAAAAAAAGAGAACAAACAAAGTAGAAATAGACCCACAGATATAGAGAACAGACTGATGGTTGCCACAGGGGAGGGGTTTGAGGGTTGAGTGAAAAAGGTAAAGCGATTAAGAAGTATAAATTGGCAGTTACAGAATAGTCACAGAGATGTAAATTACAGCATAGAGAATATAGTCAATAATATTGTAATAACTATTAATGGTGGCAGGTGGGTACTTGAAATATTGAGGAGATCACTTTGCAAAGTACATGATTATGTAACCACTATGTTGTACACCTGAAACTAAAACAAAATAATATTGAATGTAAACTGTAATTGAAAAAAAATTAATAATAAAAATAAAAAAGAATAAGGCTCAGAGTTTCACTAAACTATTACAAACATAAAGAAAAGCTTAATCTTAGGAATTTAATTTAATCCTAGGAAGTAGTACAAAACCTATTTTCTCAAATGTTTCAAGCAAAACCTTAGAAAATCTTCCCAAGTGAATCAGAACTAAACTTTTTTAGTTGAATTTTTTCTTTAAATTCTTCCTGAGAAATGAAAGAGCAGAGACAGAGGGAGAGAGAGAGGGAATCTGGGAGGGAGGGAGAGAGGGAGGAAGATTACCTTTTCTAGTTGAGATTTTGGAGCAGACATCTTCTTCCATTCTGGAAAGAGGCCAGATTTGTCCAGAGAGTCTCTCCTGTAGGTAAATACAGAAGTTATAACAAAACCACCTCCTCCCTTTCCTCTTCTAAGGACCCAAGCTCTAGGGAAGGAAAGCAACTGGCTTGCTCTCACCAAATCCATAAGATAAACTTCACATCAGATTTTCCTTGAAGTAATGCAGATGATCAGATAAGCAACTTTGCACAAACATACACACACACACACACACACACACACACACACACACACACACACAACCAATTCCTAAAGGACAGCAGCATCTGTTGCTGCTGGTCCAGGAACACTCCTCCAAGGCACTGTAGACTGTGGAAGTTAGTGTGCTCCTGAAGGCTGTGATTGGAGACAACAGTTGAAGTGCTAATGAAAGACTTGTAGCAAGGTCAGAGAGAAGGCTTCATTCAACTTGCTGAAGAGAAGTCAGGAACAATGAAGGCATAGGAGCCTTGCATTCTGATGCTAGAGAACAAAATGGGAAGTTTGGTTGAACAGATGTGCAGGGATTTGCAGGGATCTCACCTGGATGTGCTATCTGAGTCAGCCGTGT